GGGCTGTGTGATTAACTGCACACTTAGAGAAATTGTAAATATGGAAATCTCTTTACAGGTTCCTGCAGGTTAAACTGCAGAGAGAAGCAAAGGGGGTGGATGGTGAAAGAAGGAGAACGAAGGACGTTGTGATGAAGCAAGAGGAACAGCGGTGATGAGACCGAAACACCCCCCTTCTTGTGAAGCAGCAGCCGGAGCCCCGGTGTTGGGTATGGAGCCCTGGGTGTGGGTCCCAGCTTGGCTGCTCACCCTACCGTGTGATCTGGGCAATTTCCTCCCCCTCTCTGGGCCTCAGTTTCCACTTCCAACTCTAATAGAGTCTGCATCTAGGAAAGCAGAGGGAGAAGGCAGCTCCAGTTCCAGGCTGCCCCCCGGGGACACATTACACAGGCCCCCGCGGAAGCCCCAGCACAGGGCAGCCTGCCCGTGACTTCCAGCCCAAAGGACCCTCGAAATGGCAGAAGTTGCTCACAATTTCTTTGCTTGGGAGCTTGGACTGGTCAGCACTGCGCCTATGAATGGCTTCTGCAGTCTGTCTCCCCCATCACGCTGGGGAGTCTCCAAGAGAGGGCTGTGCTTCCACCGTCAGATTGGGGCGCCTAAGGACAAGGGGTTTCTTTCCCAGCAGGCTATGAGTTCCTGAGGACAGGAGCTGGGTCCCTCCACTCAGATCATGAGCTCCTCAGGCAGGGGCTGTGTCTCCACCATCAGACCGAGGAATCTCTAAAGGGCAGGCCAGGTGTCCCCTTTCTGTCTCTGCCTACCACCCCTAAAAGCCTGCCCTGTTCACGATTCCTAGACGTGGGCTGGTAGGAACTGATCCGTCTGCAGGAATCAGATCACTCGAAGTGCTGTCACAAAAGCTTTTGTTCTAAGCTGTCCTGAGCTGGTTTCTAAGAGTTATTCCCAAGCCACTGGCCCTTAACCTGGAGTGAAGGGGAGAGAGTGGGCTGGGGGCTGCGAGTCCCAGCCTCCGACAAGCCATCAGAGAGGAGGTCAAATGGGCAGTATTTGTTTTCCTTGCACCTCTTCAGAGGGCCCCAGAGCGGAAAGCCAGCGGTGTCCACGTGTTGAGTGCTGAGCCCCTAATCCTATCAGGCTGGGCTTTGGGGGTGGGTGAGGGGCTGGCCCCTAGGGAACCGAACCTCGAGGTCATCCAAACACCCCCCGGAGGCTTTTCCCCATCTGACTCAGTTCCGCCTGTTGGCTTCTAACCTGAGGGCCCGGCCTCAGTGTTCTCATCCATGACATGGGCTGAAGGAGATTTCCCCTCCACAGAGCTGAAGGGACTGGCTGCCCGAGATGACTGCTTCTCGCTGCCTGCCAGTCTCTCAAAAAGAGAGCAAGTGTGCACATTTCTGAGAGGCAGGAGAGTAGTGTGAGTGGTTAAAATCTCAGGCTCTAGAGATGAGCACTGAATCCTGGCTTTGGCCCTCAGGTGGATTAACATACAGAAAACACTGAGAAGAGGGTCTGAACATCACAGGAGCTCGGAAGGTTTAGCTGCCCTCATCGGTCTGTGTTAAACATACTGTATGACTTGCTGTTTGATTCTGTTTATTGCTTCTCTGTCCTGTTACACTGCCAGCTCCTCTACAGCAGGGGTCCTCATCCCTCATGGTCACTGATTTACCCCACGTGCCACGTAGCAGGCACTCCGTAACTACCTTTATATTAGAGTCGGGGGACAGGCACGGAGCTGACATGAGTAAACAGCTTTTCCACGAGATTCTGCTGGGCAGTCTCTCCGTGGAGTCTCTGAGGCTTGGCAGTATGCACTTCCCGTGCTGGGTCTGAGACAAGGGCCCGGGTCCACCCCCGGGGAGGAGGCGCGTCCTCCCCAGGCAGCGTCAAGCCCACCAGCGTGATGAGCAGATGCTCCGAGTGCAGCCCTAATGTAATCCGTCTGGGCTTTTGTAAGAACCAGGGCCAAGGCTATCTGAGTGACAGTGGACCTGAGATCCTGGATGAGGGGAGATGGTGCCGGCCCCATAGCCCACATGGGGGTCCCATCCCAGATGGGGCTTCTCCTCTCCCTGCTGTTCAGGTGAGCTACAGGGAAACTCCTCGTGGAGGAGAAATGGGACATGGTAGTGGATCTGTCTTGGTGGAGAACCCCCACACCCACTGTCCTGGGACCACAGAGATGCGCTGAACATGTGTAGTTGGCCTGCTCGGAAGGAAGACGGAGTTTACTGGGAATCAGAGCTCGGAAAAGCCAGGAACTTCTGTGTAAGACCCAAAAACGCCCCCCTCGCTGCCCCCTTCCTTCAGGAAGTGTTCGTAGCTCCACTCCGGCAGTTCACGTGCACAGAAGCACACAGCCTGCCCTGGCCCCCGTGACCGCCCTGCGAGCAGCCCCCTCTCCCTGCTGCAGCAGCTGTTCACCTCCTGGTCCCCTATGCCCCTGTCAGACCTTCCATCTGTCTTCACACCTTTGGTGGGAACCTCTGGGCAAGTCTCCGAAGTTCACCCAATCCATCATGCCCCCACAGCCTCTCTGCCCTGAGGAATGGGGAGGAAACCTGGAGGGCCTCTTGGAGGACGGGTGAGGGTCCAGCTTGGACGGGGAGAAGGTCGGGATTGATCTGGCTGCTCAAAGTAGTGGGTCGGGTTCTCTTCCTCCTCCTCCCTCCCTCCCTGAGGCTTGTTTCTGGGCCCAGCCTGTGCAGGACACATCCTCATTCTTTAATCCCACTGCTGAGCTACGTTCTAGAAGCCAGGGTCCCCTTGTATGTCAGTCTCTTCCCTGCCCTGTGAAGAAGATGCTGCTCTGATGATAAACCTCCGCCCACACTGAGAAGGGTGGGCTGGGAAGAGCAGTGGTCAGGGAGCCAGGCGTCCTGAACTCTCAGGCCTGGCCCAGCCAATGTGTCCTGGGCCCTCCAACTGAAAAGTGGGATGGGGGCCCACCTCATCTCAGTACCCCTCTTCAGATTTCCAAGTGATGCTTCTTCAAATTGTTCTGTAATATAAGGCCAGTCCTGGACCACATTCTCAGATGTGGACACCTCAGGTCTCTGCAGCCATCCTCACCTGGCTGGTTCTGGATCCCCCTGTGTCTAAACTTGGCTCTGGAAGATTAGCTTAGCCAGTTCATCATTCTTGGCACTAATGAGATGGAGGTGGTGGCCTTGAACCCCGATGAGGCCAGTTAGATTCTATTGGAAAAACATTCTGGTCCGCAGACTGTGTCACCCCCACAACGTGGGGCCCACGAGGACGTGGTGCTTTACCACTGAGAGCCTGGCCTTCAACTGCTTCTGTTCACAGGACACTCAACTCTGCACCGGACCTGGGCTAAGCACTTTATGTATGTCATTTCATTTGATCCTAAACAACCCTATGAGGTAGGTGCTAGCATTGTCCCCATGTCATGGCTGGGAAAACTGAGGTGTAGAGAGGCGAAGGGATCTTACCCACAAGTAAATGATGAAACGGAAATTCAGTTAGCCCTCAGCCACACACAGGAATTGAGGCAAAAGGAATTAACCCAAAACAGCAGAAAATTAACATTTGGAGGAATCCTTTAGACCAAGGGTAGCCTTTTTTCTGTAACAACCAGAGAGCACATGTAGGCTTACAGGCCATGCAAAAGCCTGCAACATTATCTCTTCTGAAACTACTCAATTCTAATGTTACAGCACAAGAGCAGCCATGAGTATGTAAATGAATGGACATGGCTGTGTTCCAATAAAACTTTATTTACAAAAACAGGTTGTTGGATGGAAGTGGCCTGGGGGATTGTAGCTGATCTCCCCTTTGGCCCCTATTTTCCTTCAGGCAACAGATTTCTCATACCAACTATATTGTCCTGGTAATAGGGGGGCGGGAAGGGAACTGATGTTGATTTGGCCCCTATTTTGTTCCAGGCTCTGTGCTAAGCGCTTTGACCCATTAGCATGTTGAATGCAGAGAACACCCTTCTTAGGAGGTTCGCAATTCTTTGTTTAATCACTCTTTTGTTTAATGGGGAATACACTAAGGCTCAGAGATGCTCTGAGCAGTGCAGCCTCACCTCTTCTACCACGTAACAGCTGTTCAGGTAAGTTTGCATCACCTGTGTTCTCACCACAGACACAGAGAGGTGTCTCAGAAGGTGGAAGGAGGGTAAAAGGAGTCTTGGATTTAATTCCTTCCACTGGGGATATTTAAGAGTCTGCTATAGCTACAAAAATGAACTCAACAGTTCCTCCAGTTTGCTAGAACTTCCAGCATCACGGAGTCCTGTTCCCCGAACCCACCAATAACCACCACCAGCCTCAGCCTCACCTTTCTGACTCCATCTAAAGATGGTCCCATGACTTTCATCAGCATCATCGGGCAATGAGTGGTTGCTTAACCAGCAACCAATCATTTGTGAACGAATAGAGTTCCCAGACCCATTGGGAGTAGAGTTCCCGAGCTAGAACCGCCCCACCACAGTTCTCTCCACCAATAGGATGCGGTCCTGCCTTTTACTCATTGGTCACTCCTGATGAAAGGCGGGAGATGGAGAACAGGAAGAACTCCTGCGTCTAGAACAAAACCCCAACCACAGTCAGCATCCCATTGGAAATGGTGCAAGGCTTCCACCAGCACACTATCTGAAAATGCTTGACTTTTCTGGACTGAACAGCCACGAAGAGGGTGGTGGGCCAGTTTAGTAAGTTCTGGGTGGCTAACGGGTCAGGAGCAAGTCTATAATATGGTATCTGTCTCTGGGTAGCGAGAAGTATGGAAACCTTTTCTCTCCATCTGCCCACTGCATCACCCAGGTCTCCAGCTTGAAGAAGATAAACCCAGAGTAAAGGGTCACAGAATATAGACAAGTGAAAGTGGAAGGAGCAGTTCCGCCTCCCACTTAACTATTTCAAGGTGTCCAACAGCCAGCAGGTTTGGTGGAGAGCAGCGAATTCTTCCCCAAGGGAGAGCCAGCCTGTGTCCCCCCAGAGCCCTCGCTGACTAGGCTGGCGAGCATCTGGCAGTGGGACCCTGGGCAGAGAGGCGAGGCCACCTACCTGAGGAGATAGGCCGTTGCTGACGGGGTTCATGTGGTTGGAGGGCGCTGCCGGGTTCATGAAGCTGTCCGAGTAGCTGGAGAAGCTGTGGCGGGCTCCGTAGGCAGAGCTGGTGTCCGCGGCCGCCGCGGCCGCAGCCAGCCCGCCCTGGTGCATGGTGGACGGTGGGAGGGGCTGGGGCCGGTGCACGGTGCTGCCCCCATCTGCGGAGAGACCCAGGAGCGGGCTTGAGCAAGCGGCCTCACCCCAGAGGGTGAGGGAGGGTAAGCGCGCCTCCTGCTTGGAAGGTAGACCCTGAGCCTCCTTCTCCCAGCCTCCAGCCAGTGGAGGGAGAGAGGAGGCGACCGCCTTCCCTCGCTACTTGGGACAGGACCACTGGCTTCTGGGGAGGACACTGGGATTGGGCAAGCCTTGACTGACAGCCAGCCAATACTCCAGATAACCTCTAGGCACCTACTGTTACCGGCCCTGATCTCAGCGGTTGACACATAGCAGGTGCTCAATAAACCTTATCTGGACTGAACATCAGAGCTCGTTGTCAATCTGCCCAGGCCTCTCCTGATAGCATTTTGTGAGCACTGACCACTCGCCAGGTGCTTTTACAAATACTAAGAATGGGAAGCGAGAATATGATTACCATTTTACAGATGAAGAAACCAAGGCTCAGTGAGATGCAAGGTAACAAGGTTAGTGAGTGGGGAGCCGGGCTGTGAACTGCTGTCCTGTTCCTAGCTGCCGGGCTGTGACTCCTCTCTGTCACGGCCCCTCCATGCAGCCTTCCAGAAGATGGGACAGTCATCCTTGGCAATGGTTCAGTTTCTTATCAAGAAGCACAGGGAGGCCTCTCTCCTCAGCCTCCAGAATTCCAGCCTGCCAGTCCTTTAAGAGAGAGCCACGGGGCTCCATGAGGCAGAAGTCAAGTAGTGGAACTCTTAATGTGTGCTGGGGAGGGGGCAGAGTCTGGGACCAGAGCCAGGGAGGGAGGGGAGCTCCCCTTCTCTGCCTATAGGGCTCACCACCGTTTTATCTGCATTTTAATAAGACCCAGGAGATTCATGTGACTTTACAGTTGGAGAAACTCTGTTCTGACCGTGTGCAAGGAGGCTACCTTGTTCATCTTCCCCTGGATGCAGAGTGAAGAAGTTCAAGGGCAGAACCCCATCTCTTTCGTCTTAATAGTCTATCCACATGAAAGTACACAAATGATCATTTAAAAAACCCCAAACTTTCTTATTCCTTCTTTGTTAAGGAAGGAGGCAGACGGGGGCTGGGGGAGGGAGGGTGAAAGGATATGGCTGAGATGCCAGGGTGGGGCTGAGCACTCACCTTGGGAGATGGTGGTGGTGGGGTAGGTGGAGTCCGGCAGCTGGTAGGGGGGCAGCGTGGGCATGCCGGTGGGCGGGAAGCCGCCTGGCAGAAGGTGGTTGAACGCTGCCAGCTGGTTGGCTCCTGCCTGCTTACGCCAACGGGCACGGCGGTTACTGAACCAGACCTGGGGGATGGAGAGCAGAGCATGGAGAGCCCTCAGCCTGGCTCCTGGCAGGGATCTGAGACATAGCTAGAACCGGTCTCCCGAGCCCTCACCCTCGATCCAGCTGGCATCCTCCGCGGGAGGACAGTTTGCAGAGCGCTTTTACAGGTGCCATCGCATCCTGTCTTCTCGACCACCCAGTGAGGAAGTCATTATCATGACCTGCATCTTGCAGATGAGCAAACTGAGACCAGAGAGAGTGGGGAACTTGCCTACGTGACAGGGTGGGTCAGAGACACAGCCAGGTCTGAGTGACTCTGTCCAGTGCTGTTTCACTGTAGCTGCTCCTGCCCTAAAGGCTGTCAGTGGGTGACCATCCTTGTTCCGACACACGCTCACTCTCCACCTCCTCCAGGAAGCCCCCCAGGAGGAAGCCATACATCGAGAACCCACCTGAATGAGACCCACCTGCCAGACTCAGATGTAAAGGCCAGTTCTTGGTCAAGAGCCTGAGGCCCTGCTTGGCTTATGCTGCACGGGCCCCCTTGGATAGGAAAGCCCACCTCACACAGACACATACATAGACCCATGAGGCATGCCCTACTAGCCCCATTCCCCAGAAGGGGAAACTGAGGCTCACAGAGGTCCAATCACTTGCCTGAGGCTGCACTGCTAGTCTGTAATGGATCAAACTTCAATCAGTCTGATTTTCTAGACCCTTCTTGTCTGAATTCGCAGCCAGTTCCCTGGGACCGGCCAGAGAAAGAGAATGAGTATGGGAAGTGGGGCTGCTCTGGGGAAACTCTTCTCTACCTTTGGACTTTGCACATGCTGTTCCCTCTAATCCTAATACTCTTCCCACTGCTGGTTCCTTGGCCCGCAGGGCTCAGCAGAAATGCCTCCTGCTCCAGTGATGGATCCCTGCATGAAAGTAAGTCCAGGCAGGTCCCCCCACCTTCTCAGGAGGCCTCCAGCTATGAGCTGCCTCACACAAACCATTATTGTGTTTATCTGTTTCTTGGCTCTGTGCCTTCCCTTCGAGCCTTGAGCCCCAGGGGCAGAGGTCAGGCATTCCTTGTCCACTGCTCACAGCTCTGTAGGAGTACTCGTTGAATGAATGGATGAATGAATGAACAGTGGAAGGCAGAGATGGCTCTGGTGGGTCTTCGCTGGTGCTGGGGCAACAAAGGCTCAGTGGGGAGCCCCCCTTGGTGAGTGAAGACCTGGCCTCCCCTGGCATGGATCATTTAAGACCCCCAAACCTCTAGGCCGTGTCTGCTGACACGCGGGAAGGGAGTCTCAGGCAGGTGGCAGGTGCTCATGGGCCCCTGGTATCATCTGTCTTTTCTCCAAGGGGAAAACAGAGTTCAGTTTTTCAAGCTGGATGGACAGAGCAGCTGGCTCCGACCTGCTTAGGATTCACAGAGAAAGGAGATGTGGCAGCCAAATCAGGATTGCAAGCTGTCTGGAATAAAATGAAAGTCCTGGCTTCTCCGCACCTCCCCAGGGCAGCCAGGGCACCCCAGGGGGGTCCTGGGTGGGACGGATGCCGGCCAGTTAGACTGAGGCTGCCCCTGAACTGCTGAGGAATGGGCAGTGTTCCCTGCTCCCTGCTTCCAGGCGAGGGTGTGGGGAAAAGTTTTGTTTTAATTGTGTTTCCCAAAGGGTGGGGCTCCTGCCACTCCTTGGTGCAGAGACATCCCAGAAGGTGAGTGACACAGACTTAAATAACCCTGAACCAGTCCCTTCTCCTCCAGGCCTGGAGCGTGTGGAAGGGAAGGTCTCAGCTTGGCACTCACACATCCTTAGCGCCTTTCCAACACTTGCCAGTCTCCCTGTTTAATACACAGAGAGGATGCCTTGGCGAGTGATGTTTCCTGCAGGACTTTCTCCGTGTTGTCTTGTTTCCCCCGTGTGTGTGTGTTTCCAACTGCCTTCCTTTTATGAGAGTGATACACACATTTATTTTAAGATACACTGAGGGGATTAAAAACTACAAACTATTATGTATAAAATAAATAAACTACAAGGATATACTGTACAGCACAGGGAATATAGCCAATATTTTATAATAAATATAGATGGAGTATAGCCTTTAAAATTTGTGACTCACTATGTATACCTAAAACTTACATAGAATTGTTAAATCAACTATATCTTAATTAAAAACTACTTTTAAAAAATACTCTAATTTCATAAAAAAAGAACATGACAATACAGATAATATGCAAATGTGGCCAAAAGAAGGTCGGAGAGTGACTTCAGTTTGGGGTACGCCACTACAGTTTTGTTGGACCCAGCTGTCCCTTCGGCAGGGGTCACCTGTCCCTCAAATGGAGAGGACCCGAACACACTGGAAGAGTTCTTCCCCCTTCCCTTCCTTTCCTTTCTCCTCCCTGCCTTCCTGACCTCCTTCCTTCTCATCTCAGACTGTTCCCAGGACTCCGATCCATGTCAAACAGGACAGTAAGGGTAGATGGTGAGCATGACCTAGTCCGAGCCTTCAAGCTGCCCTTGGCCGGGCGCACGACAGATGAGTCAAAGGACAGCTGCCCTCCAGAGCAGAAGGCTCAGACGGGGTGGTATGCAAGGTGCTGTAAGGAGGTCTGAGCAGGGGCTTCTAACTCCTTTCAGAATCCAGGAGGACTTCCTGGAGGAGAGGACATGCCTTTTGCTTTTTTCTCTCACCTCTTCTTCCTCATTGTCCTGTTTCCCAAGGGCTGCCTCCACCCCAGCAGGCACCTCTGTCCTCCCAAAGTGTAACATGATGGTTAAGAGCCCGACTGCCTGGGTTTGAATCCTGCCTCTGACTCCTCACTAAGATGGACAAATTCTGTTGTTCCTCTGTGCCTTACTTTCTTCGTTGCTAATAACAGCATCTCACTTCTAGGTGGCTCTAGAAGGAGCTAACACAGGCAAAGTGCTTACCCAGAATGGCATCTACATCTTATTCCTACACTGGAAGGTGGCTGGGCTTTCTATGGGCTGAGACAGGGCATCTCTGCAAGATATCAGGGGCACCAGGCTTCGGAGAATGGCTCCTGACCCTTTGCTGGGGAGCAGGCTGTAGAGGAGGCAGAGGGGGGTCACACACGTAAGTGACTAGAACTCTGCCTGATTAGAATGGTGTCTGGCACAAAGTAGGTGCCCAATATGATCGCCAGATGAATGAACCTGGAGTTTCAAGGGTGGCCAGAATTGGAACCACCAAAAACAGGTGGAATTTTAATAATAATGGTCCCCACTCATGTCTCTTCTGTGTGCCAGGCACTTCCTGACTGTGTGTGCGTATGTGTGTGTCGTGCGCGTGTTTACATGCAATCATTTAATCCTCAGAACAAAGTGAACCCTATTACTGTCATCTCCAATTTGCAGATGAGGAAACAGGGCAGAGAGAATAAGTGATGGAGCTGGAATCCACACCTAGGCATCGGGCTCTGAGCCCACTCTGAATCACTCGACTCTCCCACCATCTCCCACCATCTCCCAGCGCCACTGAAATGAGATGGCACAGGACTGCAAAAATCCCTGAACCACAGACTCTTAGAATCAGAGGCCAAGACACCAAAAGTATAGAGCCGTAACACCTAAGCAGTGCTCAGGGGGCTTCAAGGACCCTGCCCCGCTGTCCACAGCAGGAACTCTCTCATTAGGGTCTCCGATCCACTGGACATTGTACTTTTTCTTGAACACTTCTGGTAACAGGGATCTCATCACCCCACAGGGCAGCTCTGATTGTTGATGTGTAAGGATCCTAAAACTTTAAGGAGACTTGGTGCTCATTTAGTTTGATCCCTTTGTTTATAGATGGGAAGTTAAGTCTCAGGAGAGGAAAGTGACCTGTTGAAGGTAACCCAGCTGATCAGAGGCAGAAACCAAGGGGAACCCAGGTCTGTGGCTCCCAGTCTTGCGCTTTCGTCCCTGCAGACCTTTATATGGGACTTTTAGGATGTCCTCCTGTCCACCCTGGTCCCACCCCCTGGGGTGTCTCAGAGCAGCAGCGTCCTTCAAGCCTTCTCTTCTCCAGGCCAAATGTTCTATTATTCCTGTCTTGACTGTTTGGGTCGGCCTTTGTTCATTCTTTAAAAACTCAACATGTATTGATCCTCTGCTGGGATCAGTCCAAGGTCTCAGGCTAAGGGTTGGGGGGGACTGAGCCCCATCCTGGGGGAGCTCATAGTCTGACAGGGGGAGCCAGCACGTGGAGGATGTCTGCTCTCACCCCCCTCACTGTGGGTTTGCCTGGGCTCTGGCCGCTCCCCCTGTTCCCAGCCCCCCTCTATCCTTGGACCTTGAGTGACACCTGTTTCTGGGTCCCCTGGGTCAATAAAAGCACTGCCCTGACAGCCAGGAAATTTTACAAGGAGCAGTCAGGCTTCAAGGTGGTGGGAAGCAGCCGTGGTCGCCAGACGTGGGAGTGAGAAAGCACCCAGGAATGTGCCCAGGAGAACAGCTGCAGGAGGACCGGGGCAGGGGAGGGAGGCCGGGGCTGGGGGCAGGCTCGGGTATCACCCCAGAGAGGCGGGGAGGGAATGAGGTGAGCCTGCTGCCGCCGCCGCCCCCCTCCCCTCGGGGTCCCCCTCTACGGCAGCCAAGGGTCCCCCACTCTGGGATGGGGGTGGGGTGGGCAGAGGGGAGGCGTTGGTTCCTGGATTGCTTAAGTGCCACTTTGCTTCCAGAACTTTGTCGCTTTCAAATCCCAGGCTCTGAGTCCATTTCCTTCTTCCGGATGAAAAGACCCTGGAGGGTTCGGAGTTCCAGGCCCAGCTCAGCCTCCCTTGAACTCTGTGCCCTGCCACGTGTGGCTCCTCTGAGCCTCAATTCTGTGCCTGTGGCTTGGGGAGTGACCATCCTGACCTGACGAGGTGGTCTGAGGTTCCCTTGGGTCAGGTGGGAGAAGCTCTGAGCATCGCCCCTGGCACAAGGCAGGTGCCCAACAAAGGCTGGCCGCTCCTCGGATAGAAGCACCCCCAGTGAACAGTTGGGGGCGTCCCTCTGCAGACCCGCCTCCCCCATTCACAGAGAGGCCAGACCAGGAATGAGTTCCCACTGGAGCGGAGTGGAGCATCAGGCCCCTCTCTTGCTCCTCCGCCCCCTCCCAGCCCAAGCTCTTCCCAGCCCGGCCCCCAGAGACTCCGGGAGAACAACTGTAGACCTCACGGAGTCTGAGAGCTGCCCCTGGGGAGAGGAAGCAGTAACCCCTCCCAAGTGCAGGCCTTGAACCTTAGGCAGATTGTGCTTTCTCTGCCCTCCCTCCCCCAGCCCCGCTGGTCAGGAACCACACATTTTGAGGGTGTGGCGGAAGTGTTCAAGGTCTGCCCACCCTCCCTTGGATGCTTCTAATCCATCAGGAACATGCACCCAGGAGTCAGCTTGCATGCTTCTCATGACAGGAGACTCATTACCCATCTTAGGAAGCCAGGTCTGTTCCGACATTTTCGTCCATTTCCTTCCTCCCCAGTCAGAGGTTTGGATTTTTCTCCTCCCTGAGCTGTCTTTTCTGGCTGAACGAATGGCCCTCGTTCCTCCATCCCTCCTGCTTTTCTCCTCTCCTTCTCTGTCTCTCCCTCCATCCTTCCTTCCCTCATTTTCCTGAAGTACTTGTTGGCAGGAGATGTGAAGGCAATCCAAGTCCTCACTGCCGCTTCCCTGGGGCTTGTCCACCACTTGGGCAGTCAGTTAATCAGCATTTGCTGCTCACTTAATCTGCACCAAGGGCTGGGGGCATTCCTTGCCTACACGGTCCCTGGACCACTTGCTGCAGAAATACCCCCGTCCCGGGGGGCCCAGTAAACCTTCCAACTCTGGCTCCCCCTGCCTCCTCAGTCCCGGTCTCTAGATGATGCCCACAGTGCATACTCCCCCACCCCAGGCACTTCCTCACCTGGACGCGAGCCTCGGTCAGCTTGGTCCTCTGCGCCAGCTCCTCGCGCGTGTAGATGTCTGGGTAGTGAGTCCTCTCGAAGGCCTTCTCCAGCTCCTCCAGCTGCTCAGCCGTGAACGTGGTCCGACTGCGGCGCTGCTTACGCTTCAGAGGGAGGTCAGGTTCCGATTCCACATCCGAACCCTCGTCCAGACGGTTCCCTACAGCCAGGAGAGAGTGAGGGAGAGAGTGGGGACCCAGTGAGATGGGGAGGTGCCTTGTGCCCATCTTCAGGCCACCACGGCCCTGAAGATCGGATCCCTCCCAAGCACAGGAAGGATAGTCCCACAGCACTGTTTACCAGACTGAAGGCTGGGAAGCAACCTCCCTGTCCAACCTTAGGGGATTGGTTAAATACTTTACGGCCCAGCAATTTCATTAAAAAAAAAATCCCCTATAGCTGAGCATTTAGATTATTTCCACTGATGTGGAAGAATGTACGTGACATAGGACTCAGGGGATGGTTTCATGATGAAATACATTTGTCAACACTTCTAGAACTATGGTCTCCAAAAAAGGGAGAACTTTACCATATTTTCACTGTAGCTCAATAAACCTGACTTTAAAAAGAAGGCAAGGTACAAACCAGTTTGCAAAGCTCTATCCCACTTTTGGAAAAAACACGCTTCACACATTATAGAACATTATACACGAAAGAGTAACAAATATTAACCTTCAGGGTGATAGGACTTTTGTTTGCTTTTTAAAACTTGTTTACAGTTTAAACTAATTTATAGTTCAGTATTTTTAAAACAATGATCATTTAAACAACGACCCTATTGCATTTTGGGAAAATATTGCAAAGACTAAGGAAAGGAGGAAGCAAGAAGAAAGGGAGGGTCCGAGAGAGGGAGTCAACGCTTGTGCCCAGGGCCAGAGACAGGAAGCCTCGATTCCAGCTTCCTGTGATGCTAGGAAGGCTACTGTCCCTCCTCAGGCCTCAGTTTCTCCATTTGTAGTATGAAAGGTTTGGACTACATGACCTCCACACCTGGGCCCTTCCTGGGATGTTTCAGGATCTTCTGGGCTGGAGGAGGAGACTTCACCTGCTGATCTTGGTCATGGCCATGGCTCCCATCCCATCATCCCCATCAATTTCCACTCCAGAGCCTGGGCGGTGGGTGAAGCCTTTGCTTTCTGTCCAAAGAGATACCAGGAGTCTGGGGCCAGCTCACTTCCCAGCCCTGGATGGGCTGTCAGGCCAAGAATCTACACCTATAGGTCCAGGTGAGGGAGGCTGCAGGAAGGGCTTGATCAAGTTCCTCAGTAGTGAGGGCTGAAGACACTATTGGACTGAACTGACTTTCTGCCCCCAACAAGTTTGGGCCTCTTGTTCATTTCTGCTCCAGCAGAAGGGATGCTAGTAAGCAGTTCCCTAGCCAGGCCTCAGAAGCTGCACCCTCGGCAGCCCCAGTGGAACCGGAGTATGGAGGAGGGGCTGGTGAGAAGAGGAAACTAGGGAAGGGAGAGGGAAAAGAGAGGGCCAGCCATCAGAGATTATCGTCCTCCTCCCCACTTCTCCCTTCCCCCTTTTATTTTTTGCTTCATGTCTCTCTCCTCTCCCTCTCCATCTCCATCTTCGGTATTTCTGTACGCACTTCTATGTCTGGTCATTCATTCATTCCCCAAAGCACTGACAGAGCACCTGCTATGTAAACTTTGCTTGGAAAGCTCGCCTGAGTCAAGCTGGAGAAGCCTCAGAGATCATGTGCTCACACCACAGATGGGAGAAACTGAGTCACAGAGCAGTAGGACGAATGCCCAAAGTCCCTCAGCAAATGTTCACACCCACGCTTGGACCCGGCTCTCCTGTCCCCTGTCCTGTTCTTATTCAATTGCTTCAAATGTTACTTACACAAATAAGGTCTAACCTCCTTCCATAAGGGACGACCTTCCCCCAATCCTGAAAAAAAACACTTAATGCATACTCTTAGATGTGATGTGGAGGTGAAGGGAAAGGCATTCCAGGCCCAGGGAAGAGCATGTCATGTTAACAGGCATGATGGAGGAGGCTACCAGGGGGCTGCATCCACAGCCGGCAGGTCATCCAGTCTTGGATGGATTCCTTTTCCCTCCAACCTACTAACTTGACCAATGAGAAGTCATCTCTGCTTTTTATTGGCCACTGACTGTGACATCACACAGCAAGTGAGCCAATGGCAAGGGTGCCCTGTCTTCATCACTGCCCGCCTTATCCCTAACGGCAGAGACCTGGGATGGGATCCAGCCCTTCCTCTGCCCTTTCCCAGCTGCCCAGCCCCCTGTCACTGAGAGGAGGCCACAATGGACACAGCTGGCATCCTGGGATGCTTTCCCCAACATGTCTGGGGCTCAGAGCCAAACAGAACTAATCCCAAGGATTCATTTCCTGAAACTGACTGCACAACCTCAATTTTCTGACATTGACAAGGAGAGCCCTTGGGGCCTCAGAAGGAGGAGGCAGAGATCGGCAGGCAAGAAAGGAGGCCAGCCCACGGATGGGGAATGGGGCACCAGGATCCATCCTCCAGTGAGGACCCTTGGGCTCAGACAGGAGCTGAGTGTGGTGGGGAATCCGGGTTGTCGGGGACAAAACCTATGTGTAGACACTGTGCTCAGATCTGTAAGGTCAGAATGGGGAGGAGACGGAGAGCTCCAGCCTGATGGAGGAGGCACAGCCCTATCTTGGGAGAAACCCCAGACGGATTAAGTCTTAGTTCAGTTCTAGAGCAGTGCTGTCCAATAGAACTTTCCATGATGATGGACATATGCTAGGTCCGTGCAGTTCAATATGGTATCAGCCACGTGTGGTACTGAGTGCTTGAAATGTGCCTCGTGCAACTGAAGAACAGAGTTTTTTATTTTACTTTATTTTAATTCAAATTTACATAGCTGCGTGGGGTTGGTGGCTGCCCCACAGGACAGCACATCTTTAACACCGTTGGTCCCTCTTTTTAACTCAGGCTCTTTCTGCACACAAAAGTCTCCAGGTAGGATTGAATGCTATTGTTTGTTTTTATAATATTTGTCTTTATGGTTCCCATCTATTTATAGGACATAATATGCATATTCTACTTAGAAAAGAATTCGTTTCCTTGAATTCAGTTTTTAAGGATACTTTTGGACAAAGTAAAACATTAAGGAAACAACAGGACAGGCCATAGGGCTGTCACCAAAGTCACATGTGCAGTTAGCAAATGAGGTGCTGGGCGGGTAAGTTCGCGGTGCTTCTGATACTGAACCTCACCCAGCCTTAGTGCCCATGCAGGCCTCTGTACCGTCCAAATTACTGGCGGCTTTCCAGGTCCTCATGGAGTTCTGAGTTTATTTCTTCCTCATCTCCCTGGCCCTCCTGCCCCTTATTCAGAATGGATCTGGGAACTCCATGGGCCTAGAGAGATAACCAGATGGGAACCCAGCCTGGAGAAGACACAGCCCACAGGTCTCTGTTGATGGAAGAGATCTGGGAATGGTCCTCCAGGATGATGGTGGTTGCCATAACAACCTTCTGGACAGTGAGCGGGGAGAGCACAGCTGTGTCCTGCTAGCTGGGAGATCCAGAGAGATTTCAAGAGAGCTGGACTATCATCTGTGACTTTAGGCCCCTGGAAAAGATGTCCTGCCTCCTCCCTGGCCCAGCTCAGGGGAAGAGATCCCACCCCGCCGCCTTCTAGGTCTGTGTCATTCTTCAGTGTGCCAGGTCCATGAAGCTGGGACTGTTGGATCTTTTACAAATAGGGAAACGAAGCTCAGAATGGTTCAGTAACTTGAGAGAGGCCACAGAGCCAGTAAGCTCGTGCTTGTTCCTGGAGACGGATGAGGAGGAGGTGCAGATCGGGAGGGAGTCTGGGGGGAGTCTAGGGGGCCTCTGGGGCTGCTCTGGTCTAGTCTAGAGTCCTGGTCTGGAAGGCCTGACACTTGGATTCTGAGCCCTGTCTCTCTGCGTGCTGTGTGGCCTTGGACAAGTTGCATCACCTCTCTGGACCTCCACTGTCTCAGATGTGAAAAAGGATGATGACGCATCCCTGCATGCCCCACTGGACTGCTCTGAGGACAGAATGAAATGAAGACCATGGGAGTCATTTGGAACCTGGAAAGGGCACTTGTAGGATTATCATTATTAATGATGATGATGATGACAGATAAACAAAGTGGGGGCGGGATACGGAACTGAAGCATCATAAGTAAGAAGGGACACAAAGATCCCTGATGCCACCGCATTCGGTTTCCCCAGTGCTGTCCCTTCCCCCCACACCCCTGGGAACCCTTTAGCCTCAGAGTTTAATTAATCAATCGGATTAGGTGGACCTGGCCACAGAGAGGCCCTGCTGGCTGGAGCTGAGTCTTCCATGCACCGAAAGCCGGTCTGTCGTCTCTTGGGGAAGCCTGTGCAGCTGGCACGAGGAGGGGGACCCACTGGGAAAGTGGACGTGGGGGTGCATTCATTTAACAGAGGCTGGATTTGGGGTGGGCAGTAGGGGAGCAGCCTCCTGGCCCCCTGCAGTGTCTGCACTCTGGCTCTCAAACAGCTGTGGATGGAAAGGTCCCAAGGGAGGGTGGGACAGAGCCAGGTGCTGGCCTGGAGATAGCCCGAGGGAGGACTATGGTGAGGGACCCTCTCTCTGGGTTCCCAGATCCTGTCTCTGCTCAGGGAAGTGGGGAGTCCCATACAGAGCGAGGAAGAAACAGCCTCTCCCTTGGGCCAAGCTTATGGGGAGGGGAGCAGCCTCTGTCTTAGGAAGCTCTCAATCTGATGAGAAGGCATCACTCTGATGCTGGGAATTCCCCAGTCTGCTGGGGGAAACACTGCTTTAGATGAACTGAGGCCAGGACAGGCATAAAGCAGGCAGTTCCATGACTCGAGTGAGCCTCAGAGCAGCCTGAGGATAGGATAAGGGACAAGAGGGTGACGAGCTCTCTGGCTCATCAAAGCTTCCGGGTAGGCAGGAACGAGGTCTGCTCAGGGCAGAGTCCAGCCCAGGCGGGGTGGATGGAGGTGGACAGAAAATGGCTGGGGCAGATCTCCTGTTCTTTACCCGAGCCTCTGCCCTCTCCTTCGAAATCCAGTAGCTTCCACAGCCCCTCACTCCGGAGGCCCCACCCCTCCCTGTCCAGCTCTTGGCTTCCTAATGGCCCAGCCATGCTGTCTCATACCTCCCTGCCTTTGAACTCCAGCTTCCTC